TTGTTTTTATTTAAAATGTAGCTGGTGTTTAATATAGAGAGTGAAGGAATGTGCAGTATTAGACATTTCAGAGAACATCCGTGACCTTTTTTAACATTTTAAAAGAGAGGTTAAGATGATTCTCTGAATCTTTCAAATGAAGCAGCATCACTGTGCTTTCATCGTCTTGTTTGTATCTTGAATTCCAAATGAATGTACATGATAAAGAGCATGCATCATATACAAACTAAAGTAAAAGGAGTTGGTGTTTTTTATATGATTTTTTTTTTTTTTCGAATGCTTTGAATCTCTTCTTCCATGATTCTGAAACATAAAAGAATTTTATATAATTGTACTGTATTAGCTTTGGCACAGTTTTATTGATAATAATGTTAATAATGGGCAAAACATAAATATAAAATGCCGTTTATGTGTCCAGTATATAATGTAACATACAGTACAAATAACCACCAACAGGAAATTTGGTAAAACCAAACAAAACTGCTGGTATTGTAAAAAAAAAAAAAAAATGTTTTTGTGCAGTTTGAGAAGAGTAATTCATAATTCACACTGGAATCAAACTGGCGACTTACATGCACCCTCTGCCTTTGCAGCTTTTATCTAATTTGCTTTAATTGCTGCTTCTCTCTCAAGCAAGCAGACTCCACTGGGTGCTTCACATAGTCACAGCGTCCTGCTGTCCCATCAGCTTCTTGGGAGTTCTCTGGAGCTCCTGCTGCTTCCACCTCCATGGTGCAGTTGCCTCATTAATCAACTGGAAGTTAGTGGCTGCTCCAGTGCTGGCTGCCCTCACAGGCCAAAGTCTATGCGCACAGAATAATGAGCCAAACTCATGGGACGTTTCAAATGAGATTTTCTTTTGATTTGACTGTCCTCTGCACTACCTCTAGGGTATGTGTTGCGAGGCATTACCATCTTTATGGGGTCACTTCCATTTAGTATGAGATGTCAATAGTTGTTGCAATCTTGTTGGTAGCAAGATCAAAATTTTAAAGTTTAATTTGGGCTATATATGCTGTCATTACCCTTGTTAAACAGTTGAATTAGATAGTCATGCAGTGTTATTTCTACATGTATATTAGCTGCGATTCATAATCACTGCAAAATAGGGTTATTTGAGATGGGGATATATTGTAGATATAAATGCCAGTGCAAATGATTGTAAAAAAAAAAAAAGAAGAAATGGTTATCTACCTTACATGACCAATGTAAACTAAGAGTATCACATATTAGGTGGTTCTCTTTTGAGTGATGTAGCCATTATCAGTGAAATAATTATATGTGACAAATGAAAATGTTCCTAAAATATATATTGGTTTGTATTGGTGCATATTTTAGTGAACCAGTTATGTAAACTCAATTTCTGGTGGAAAATGAGCTGAAGCAAAAGCAAGCCCCGAAGTTGTGCACAGTAAGATTGATGCCCACAGAGGAGGCTATGAGGAGCCTCTAGGGATATGAGCACTTGTATCAGCAGGGGGATTAAAGAAAATATGCAAAGAAAGAGTCACTGGAAAGATAAATGTGTAGGCACCCTGTGAAGAACACAAAAAATGAAAAGCCTCGCTAGGGAATAGCATCAGATTTTATTCACCTTGAACCTGCAGTGAATTCAGTCTAATTTTATCCTTTGCGTACAATGTCACTACAGCATTACCCTGTCTCTGGTTAAACTGCTGGTGGTGAAAGTGTACTGCAATATTTAGAAAACTACTGGCTACAGCGTAGTTCAGAATTATTTCATCTTGGAAAAATACTAATGAGCCAGACATGCAGCAGTGTAGTTTGCAGTTCAGCAAAAATCCTCCCTCGAAATCCTTTGTACCTTCATTTTATTACAGTATTTGATACAGCAGTTATAACTTATTTTGTATTTGGTATAATACAGGATCATAATGTTGACTTTCCGAGTTGGAAACTTTTGTACTGTCTGTCCATGTGAATGGATTTATTATTTCAATCCGTATTTTAAATGATTCACATACACCAAACTTTTCATTGTCCAGTATAGTGTAACCCACCTGATGTTGTAGTTATTGAAAAACAAAACAAAAAGAAAACTGATACATAGAGGTAACTTTATTGTGTGAAGGGTTGTGCATTTTCCACTGTCATATGGGAAAAGAAATAAATAGAAGATTGATAAGTAACAAAACCAATCAGGAACTGTCGGGGTCAAGTTCCGCCCTTGGGTAGAGTCCGGGGTGTGGTAGAACAGAAAAACGGAGTATGGACAGAGATTGAAAGAGCTACATGTTTTGGGAGTTTACCTGGGTAGTGTGAGCAGAAAAGGCCAAAGACACTTTAATATTGAAATTGGATATATGATATAGCGACAACGGATACAGTCGCGAGGGAAAGGAAGACAAAGAATTGGCACCAATTGAAAATTTGTCGTGGTAGGAGTGAAAGCACTGTGAGCTAAAGATAGTAGCTAATGGCTAACGCCATTAGCTCGTGTCCGGGTCAGCAGTGAATTGGGAAATTCTACCTCGTTAGTGAGCGAGAAGCAGAAGGTAAAACTTT